CACACACACACACACACACACACACACACACACACACACACACACACACACACACACACACACACACACACACACACACACACACACACACTTCTTTTAAATAGTAGAGATTCTTAAACTTCTATTTTTGCACTCTTATACTCTTATTATCATTAAATGTATTTCTTCTTGAATCTAACTGAAACTTTACAGACAAAACAAACATCACATCAGGGACGAGGGAGTGTTTAATATTAATATTAACATGAATGAGTGAATCTGAATTCAACATTTGCAGTTTCATACAAATCCAGACGTGTTAAAGTGTGATGACAACATGTTTCCCACCAGGTCTGAGGGGAACATTTGACGTGAGACACTGAGCCTCTGAAACACAGTCGACCTTTAAATGTTCTGTAGCTGCAGCTCGTTTTAATCTGCTCAACTCACGGCAGTTAAATACAAATTTACAATCACCATCATCGCAGCTTCCATTCAAATCCGATGATCCAGCAGATGAGCAGTTTGTCGGGAGTGGTGAAACAGGAGGTTCAGCCTCACCTTGGGCACACGTCTTGTGTTTGCACTGCTTGTCAGAGGCTTCAGTGTTAAACCTGGCCGGTGGCGCTGAGACCTTCTGGCCACAAGTAACCCTGTTGTTTTTATGTCTTCGTCTCTTTCTCTGTTTGTAAAATGGATTACGCAAAAACTACAGAACCTGTCATTGTGAAACTTGGACGGAAGGAAGGAGGAGGTGGACAGGAAATATTTCAACACATTGTGGATGAAAATAAATCAAGCGTGTTTAGGCGACAGATATTTATGAGTGTGTGCAAATAAAAGTCAGAGGAAAGTTAAACGTCACCGCTTAGATTGAAATGAAACCCGTCAGGGGAGGAAATCAATTATTGTGGTTATGCTACTTGATGAAGATCGACGTGTCTGTACAGGACAGTGTTAATCTGATAAGTTATTCTAAATATTCTGCACTTTACCCACTGATCTCTTTTGTGCAGCTCACTCTGTAGAGTTTTTCACTGGTTTATCCTCCTTCCATAATTATTATTGCTTCTATCGTATTCCATCGCTTTGTCGAGCCAGTCCCTCTCCTGCTCCGACTCAGAGTCGCTGGCTTCACTGGCGTTAGCGGCCAGAAGGCGAGAGTAGTTGATCCTGCGCTGGTGAGGGGCCTTCCACTGGAGCAGCATCAGACACACACACCACACCATCAGACCCACCGCCACTGCTCTGAACAGCCACGTCAGCCCGAACCTCTGCACCACAAAGCCCCCGCCGAAGCTCCCGAGGCTGCTTCCCAGGTGGAGAGACAGAGCGCTGTAGACCCTCCTCACGCTCCGCTCGGCCTCCGGCGTGGCAACGTCCTCGCACTGGACGTTCACAGCCCACCAGAGGGCTCCGCCGCTGAGGCAACTCAACATCTGGGCAGGCAGCACGGCCCAGGGTCCCCAGAGGAAGGAGTAGTAGAGGCACTGCAGGCTCAGACTTGCAGCCCCGACTGCCAGCACCCTTCCCGGGCTGAGGAGCTTGGACACCCGGCCGGCCAGGAGAGGGAAGGCGGCCTGTGAGAGCAGAGCGAGGGCGAGAGACGATCCCATGTGCAGCTCGTTGCTCCCGTGATCCTGCATCTGCCACAGGAGGAAGTTGTCCACGGCTGAGCACGCTGCCCCGGCCAGCAGGGTGGTGATGGCACAGAGCAGAGCGCGAGGGGAACCACGCACCAGCTGCAGCGCTTTCAGGAGCCCGTTGGCCCTGTCTCGCTTTTTGTTCAGGTAGAGAGGGAGGTAACAAGCCACGGGCAGGGCCAGAGCGGCCAAACCAGCGTAGCAGTAGAAATGTGCCGTGCTCCTGGGGGTCCGACTGGCTATGAGACAACTCAACTGGCTGACCAGCAGCCCCGCTCCTCCAGCCCCGCACGCTGCTCCCAGTAAACCCCACGGCCCGGTGCTGCTGTAACGGTCGGAGGCGTCCGCAAAATCCAGATATTCATACAATCCGTCATCTGCCGTCCACTCCAGAGGGGCCGACACAGACTCCCACACCGAGACGATGATGAGTATCAAGAAGAAGAGCTGGTGTTGAGGGTCCATGACCTTCAGGCTTCCTAAAAAGTCGAACCGGCTCCTCTCGTCTGGCGTCTTTTCTCTCTGCGGCTCCTCAGAGCCTGATTTGAAGTCTGACCTCTTACTCCTCACAGCAGCAGCAGAGGAGCTGGAGACATGAGGCACAACAGAGCTGCCGACCCCTGATCCTCGGAGGCTGTGGTCGACCCCGACAGAAACACTCTGTTGTCGATGATGTGAAGTTGTGCTCGTCATTACAGAAGCAGATTTACCACCAGCGATCGTCTTTGCAGGAAACGTGACACCAGGATGGGAAACAGGATGTTTTGGGTGAGGCCTGGTCTCGGACGTTTCAGGTAGGACGCTGCTGGTGGGCGGGTTAACTCCGAGACCTTGAGCTGAACCGCTGCTCAGATTCGTGGCGTTACAGGTGCTGCTCTGCGTGTGCACTTCTGCGAGCGGGACAAGCAGCAGAACCAGAGCGACCGCTGCCGAACACACGAGCGAGCCATTTATCACCACTCGCCTCTTGTTGTAGTGTTTGGAGAGGAGGCTCGCCACGGGGCTCCACACCAGCGATATCAGGTGTTTGGCGCCCATGACGACGCCCGTCATCACGGGGGTGAGGCCCAGCTGCCTGAGGTACAGGGTGAGGAAGGGGAGCAGGCAGCCTTTGGAGCAGGAGCACAGGAAGTTGAAGATGCTGGCGAGAGCGAGGGCGCGTCTGACGTCAATCTGCTTGTTCCTCTTCATGATTGTCGTCCTGTGCAGCTCAGAGTCTCTGCTGATGCTTCACATGGAGCAGCTGGTTGGATTCAAACCGAGAAACAGAGAAAATAATAAAGTTAACACAACAAGAACAATCAAGTCCAATATAGTGATATAATCATTATTCCCATTGTGCAGCACATTGAGGAGGAAAAACATAATTGATCAACCTCACATTTATACATATAG